TTGAGAGCAGGGATTTCATCTCAAAATCATGCTTGAAACCCTAGCATCTAGCACTCTGATTGCTTAGCAGATGTGGAATGTGTCTGTGTTTGAGTGGGAATAAAGATCCTCCTTAGGAAAGATGAGTAAGAACAGATACAGTTTTCCTCACATAGCTTCTCTGTATTTTATTTTAAGCATTTTGTCTGTAACTGTGAAATGGTGATTTCAGGCATCAGCAAGCAGATGGAAAGCTTTCTGAGGGGCAGAGAAGTCCAAATTCTTCATGTGTACTATCTTTGCATGGATTCCTCCCCACCCTACGACCCTGGGCTGCTGCAAGTTACTCCCAGAAGCTGCTGCAGAAGAGAATTTGGTGCCCACTGCTCACCAATCTGGAGCTCAGCCTGCTCAGGTCTACCAGCAGGCCTTTCCTTCCTTTCTCTCTCTGTCAGGCCTGCCTATTGCTGCTTCTCCCTGATTTTATTGAAAACCCTCCTTTCTTTCCCGCCCCCCCCCAAAGAATTCCAGGAGCATGTTTCCCAATTACAGGCATTATTTCACCCAGGATTTCATAATGTTTTGTATGATTACCAACTCTCTTCTTCATGTCCCATTCTGAAATACTTCATTTCATATCATAGAATTACCTTTGGCAATGAGGTTTCTGTATTATTTTTTATATATATAATGAATCTCAAAAGATAATGTGAACAGTGTGCGAAGGTCAGAGGGCCTTTCTCGCCTCCTGCTGGGTGTCTGTGCCAGGATAACCTGCCATCCTACGCTGGATGCTTTGTTTTGGACTGAAGCAAATAGCAGTGGCCATGAAGCCTTGCTGTCCACTGCTGGTCGGTCCTTATTGCCTGGACTTAGGTGTCGGATTTTTTTTTTAAGACTGCCTGTTTGTTCTTGACCTGAAGAATTTTATGCTAACTTGACCCGTGGAATTTTATGCTTACTTGACCTGTAGACTTTTTCTTGAGTCCCTGGTTTTGAACCAATGACTCTGTTGTTATAAGCCGGTATGTGTCCTTCAGCCTGTATCTGTTAGCTTTTGTGCTGCCTGTTATGTTTCTCCTCTCCAAATGTCTGGGGTGACTGAGCATTTCGTTAGCTTTGGGGAGACACAGCAACATGACTTGCATGTTGCTGGAGGAGAGTGGGGCTCAGCTCTTAAGAACTGGGGTCAGTACCTGGAGGGCATCAAGGGTAGAGAGTATAACAGAAATAGGGGCTACGTTGGAGAGAGACTTTCAACAAGATAAATTTCACTGACGAAGTTCTGTATACATGAATGAAGACCAAATTTTATTTATCTTTTTAAAAAATGTTTGTTTTTTTTAAAATATATTTTATTGATTTTTTACAGAGAGGAAGGGAGAGAGATAGAGAGTTAGAAACATCGATGAGAGAGAAACATCTATCAGCTGCCTCCTGCACATCTCCTACTGGGGATGTGCCCGCAACCCAGGTACATGCCCTTGACCGGAATCGAACCTGGGACCCTTCAGTCCGCAGGCTGACGCTCTATCCACTGAACCAAACCGGTTTCGGCTTTAAAAAATGTTTTTATTGATTTTTAGAGAGAGAGAGAGAGAGAGAGAGAGAGAGAAGAAGGGATAGAGATAGAGAGAGAAACATTGATGAGAAAAAACATCATTGATCAGCTGTCTCCTGCACGCCCAGTAGTGGGGATCGAGCCCGCAACCCGGGTTTGTGTCCTGCCCAGAATTGAACCGGTGATTCCTTGATTCCTGGGTTGACACCTAACCACTGAGCCACATGAGCGGGCGTGAAGACCAAATGTTAAATATTTGAAGGTATACATTTAAAATGACAGCTTAATGTTAAAATGGGAAGTTATGATTTTAAGCAATAGTATAATTTTGAATAACATGACCTCATCATTGATGCTAGGTGCTGTACATCTTCAGGTTTTATTATATCAGTACTGTGAATGAAACCCAGAAAAGTTATAGAGGAGGAAATAAATGATTTTGATATTTTTATATAATAGTCATTACACACACCCTTTTATAGTTCTTTGTAAATTTTAAATTGCAGTAATAGTCTTGCTATTCAGTTTTCCTATTTTGTGCAACCATGACCTTCTGTAATAGTCACAAATGTAGGAGAAAACTGAAATTAAAACCTCTGAGCTCAATGAAAATACATTCTCCCAAGCCCATGGCTTGACTCAGCGAAACCATAATGACATTTCTTTTTTTTTTTTTTTATAGGCCAATGATAAAGTTTCAGGTATAATTTTAAGAAACAAAGTCCCTGTTCTCAAAGACAATAGAAGAAACAGACAAAAAGAATAATGATTAAAATACAGTAAATAAAATTGAATTCCATTATAGAGGTAGATTCAAGGTAGATGAAATATCTTTGAGCAACTGACAATAGAAATGTTTAGAGAATCCATAGAAGCAAAGCATCAATAATTTAGCTCCCTCTCTCTTTAAGATTCTTCCCTATTCATCCTTCTTTATCAACGTTTTAAAAGTTAAAGTTCCTCAAGGCTCAAATTGAATGAAATCCTTTTTTTCGTACTCTGTACTCTCTCCCTAGACAATTTCATTAATGCCGTTGACCTCAAATGCCATCTACAATGCTGTCACTCAAATACGTATATTCATCGTTTAGTCATTGTAGACCTCTTCTCTGAACTCAAAAGTATTTATATTCAATCGTTCATTTCTTATAGGCCCAGAACCTGCTTGATTTAGTTATATCATGGTAATTTATTTATTTTCTCCTGGAGACATATAGTTTTTAGTTTTAATCTAGGAAGCAAAAAGAGGGTTATATATCTTTAAAAATAGCCCTTCACAAAGTGAAGGCCTTAAAGCATGACTGAGGGGAGACACTGAGGAGATCACTGTTGTGTGATGTGAATTTCTGTGATAATAGAAGTGTTTATCCGCATTGTCCAATACAGTGACCACTGACCACAGGTGACTAGTGATTACTAGAAATGTGGCTATGGTGGCTGAGGAATTGAATTTTAATTTAATGAACTTAAATAATAACATGTGGATAGTGGCTGTGATATTCGATAACACAGTTCTAGATAATTGTATTAGTCTCCCATTGCTGCTATTAAAAATAATAATAAACTTAATGACTTAAACAACCATTGTATTTAATGATTTTATATCTTAGAGTTCTGTAGGTTGGATATGTGGCACAGGTTTTACTGGGCTAAAATCGAGGTGCTAGTAGGTCTGCGTTCATTTCTGGAGGCTCTAGAGCAAGTATGTCAAACTCAAGGCTAACACGGGCCAAATAAACAAGGCATGCGGCCCACGGGCCGTGAGTTGGCCATGCTTGCTCTAGAGAAGAATCTGTTTTCTTGCCCTTGCCCTTCCCAGCTTTCAGCAGCTGACATTCCTTGGTCCACGGCTCTTTACTTCATTTCCATGCAACGTTACATTGCTCTGTCCTTTCCTTCCATAGTCACATCGCCCTCTGAGACTCTTCTGCCTCTGTCTGCCATTTTTAAGGATTCTTGTGATTTTATTGGGCCCACCTGGACAGTCCAGGGTAGCCTCTCTGTCTTAAGTCAGCTGCTCAGCAATCTTAATTCCCCTTGACCACGTACCCTAACATTTTTGTAGGTTAAGGGATTAGGATTTGAACATCTGAAAGGGGGGGGGGGTCATTGTTCTGCCTATCACATCATCTTCTTTATGAAAGGGCAGTTAAACCCTGTACTTCTTTGGAACTTGGTGACTATGCTCTTGGAAGAGCTCTTGTGATTCCTTTTTAGGTGTGAAGCCATGCACTGCACCCTAAGACAACACTCTCTTCTCGTTCAGGATGGGTAAAAGGGCAGAGAGAGCTGGATGTTGGCCTAGGAGTGTAGACACTTGTCCCATGGCTGCCTTACACATGGCTGGTTTTATATTTCCTGGGTGTTTTCCTATGGAAATCTTCATCATAGGAAGCACAGTATTTTCCAACTCTATTTTTCAAGAATGAGAATTCTTAAAATTATTTTTACATATTTCTCTAAAAATGTGACTTTCTTGCATCCTCACCTACTATTCTGATTCCTATTAAAATGGGGTTGTCAGTGACCGGGAGACCTGTACACAGAGGGCTTTTGGTAATGAGGGAAATAAACACAAAAGCACTAGGATTGTTCCATGTTACCATATCTTGCTCCCTGTCAAAACTGACAGACACACACAGGTTCATAGTCCTTCTGGAAAGAATCAGGTAATTTTTTTTTTCCTTTTGCTAGGCCAGAGCACAGGACTTGAGGATATAATAATTCTATCAAATATATATTTTGAATAGTGTAACCTGAATAAAACTTAGAGCCAAGAGATAGGAAGTGAAAGGGAACTAAAGCTATGAGAAGGAAGGTTGTGCAAAATTCTCAAGAGCTTGACAGTTTGAATTCTCCTTTCCTGAAATCTTCTAATCTCTCTTGGTGGTAAAGAGGACCCACATTTGCAGTACACACCTGCATGATGCCAAGTGTCCTGGGAAAAGCTGACGACAGGCAGAAGATTAGACTTGGGAAGACGAAGACAGCCAAAGAAGGAAGCTTAGTGAAGGCAAATTGAGAGTGTTCAGCTCATCTCTTTTCTTCTTTCCCCAAAGACTAGCTGTCAGTGGGCCCATAAAATCTCTCCGATCTTAAAGGTGCTTTGGGAGACTAACTCAATCCTCAGTATTCTGAATCTCAGGCAGGGGTTCTGAACTTGAATGCACATGAGTTTCAACAGAAGCTTTAGAAACTACTGATTCCTGGGTCCCACCCTCAGAAATTCTGATGTAATTTGTTTCAGAAGTGGCCAGGGCAAAGGCTTTGTTAAGGACTGATTCTAACAAGATTTAAAGGCTCATTCTTCAGGTAATTCTAATGCGGATCTAAGTTTGAGCCCCGCTGACCTAGGACATTTAACTGTATATATGTTACCCTTTTCTAACAAAGATGCATTCCATCCCCTATTAAATCGTATGGAAGCTCAACGCATTAAAAAAAATAAAAGTGGCCTTTCCCTGCCTGACGCAGCCGAAGTCACACGCGCGAGGCCCCTCCGCGGCCACCGAGATGCGCTACGTTGCCTCCTACCTGCTGGCCGCCCTCGGGGGCAATGCCTCCCCCAGCGCCAAGGACATCAAGAAGATCCTGGACAGTGTGGGCATCGAGGCGGACGATGACCGGCTCAACAAGGTGATCAGCGAGCTGAACGGGAAGAACATCGAAGATGTCATCGCCCAGGGTATTGGCAAGCTGGCCAGCGTTCCCGCTGGAGGGGCTGTGGCCGTTGCAAACTCAAGAGTAACAATAAATCATTTTGATTGCTCCTTTTATACCTTTCCAAAAACTTAGGAATATAATTTTTATTAAAAAACATGAATGTAGCCCTGGCTGGTTTGGTTCAATGAATACAGCATTGGCCTGTGGACTGAAGGGTTCCAGGTTTAATTCCGGTCAAGGGCACATGCTTGGGTTGTGGGCTCGATCCCCAATAGGGGGCGTGCAGAAGGCAGCCGATCAATGATTCTCCTCATTGATGTTTCTCTCTCTCTCTCTCTTCCTCTCTGAAATCAATAAAAATATATTTTAACAAAAGATAAAAATGCAGATTCTTTAGTTCAGGTCGTCCAGAAACCTTGCTCATTGAGCACCACTTGCCACCTCCATTACTCATTTTTTTTTTCAAACTCTTTCATTTCCTCCCTATTTTCATCAAACTAGGCTCTGAAGAGGAGGACTGCTAGAAAAAAATTGCCATCTATTTTACTGGATTTTAACTATCGAGACCTGAATTTGAACGTTGGTTCTATCACTTAACCTAGTGACTGTGACTTTGGACAACTGTATCTAAACTCTCTGACCTTCAGTTCCTTTATCTCTTAATTAGAGGCAATGCCTATCTCACAAGTTGCAGAGGAGACAAAATGTAGGTTGAAGTTAGTGTATGGTCAATAGAGGTTAGCTCCTTCAAGAGTTCAGGCTTTCCTTGAGGCCACATTAAGCTTTCACATCTGGGACAGGATTGATGCTTTGGCGACCGCGGACCACTGCTGGTCCATGAGGTCTGAGAGGTTGGCGACCTCAGGTTTAAGGAAACCTTTGGAGCAGTGGTTGCTACCTGGTGGTCCGTGAGGTCCGAAATGTTGGCGACTGCTGGTTTGGTATGTGAACCTGCAGTTACCTGTGTATTGTACTTGTGTTGTAGGATGAATACAGATTCTCTGTACCCATGGTGGGTCTAAAATTCTTGATTGACCTGCAGCATCATAGGAAGAGATGGGGAAGGAGGAGGAGTTATTCCTTGCCGAGTGATGAAGTAGAAGCCAAGAGCTTCATTGAAATGCCTCAGCAAACAGGCAAAAGTCCATTTTCCACTAGAATCACAATATGAAAGAAATATGAGAATTCATAATGGTGGTGGTGGGTAGGCTGAAGAGGGGTGGGAGAGGTGGGAAGTTCTCCGTGGACCAGAGGTGCAGCTTTATGACTGAGGAAGGATTTCTTGATTTTACTTTTTTAAAAAAAAAAGGATAATGGAATTTTAAGCTGGCATGAAAAAAACATGAACACATTTCCCCCCATTTTGGTATTGCAATGTAGTTAAATAAAACTCTCAGATAATATAAAAACCTCACTTTCCCCCTTATGAATATTTTACAGTGTTGCTAAGAAGTGCAGTTGACTGATATGAATTTAACTACCTCCTCCTTCTTCTGCCCACCCAGAGATTAGTAAGTAGTGAAACGGTTGGAAGTGTTCAGCGAGATGACAAAAGAGAAATCAGGCTTGGGGAATTGCAAAGTTAGATGATCTGTAATTGAATAATGTTGACTAGGATACACAAATCAAAATTGTTTAAAATCTGCTAAAGGAAGAACTCATTTGGGTTTGGCCCTGTCTCAATGACATTGAACTAGTGATTGAAGTCTAAGCATGACTATAGGTGGTATTTCCTGTTTATCTTTCACAAAGCTGGCTTCAGTTTTCATGTCGTGTTCTCTACATGCTCCCGACCTCTACACAGTGAAAAATGCTTTCAAGTTTCCTCAGCATTAATAATGAAAAACATTCCAGAGAATATTTCTTTTCTTTCTGGAGTCTGGATACATGGAGGACTGGTACCCAAGGGTAGGTGTTTTATGGGTAGATGGGTGTGAGATTTATCAGGATGATCGCTTAGTAAGTGAACCTTTGTCCTTCATTATTCCCTTCTGAAGAAAATTTCTATTTTTTTAAATAATGCCATAGTGCTAGTGAATTGTCTGAGGAAAGAATTTTATAAAAATAGCTCAGATTAAGCTATATGTGAGAAACTAATAAATGCTAGGATTTAGTGCCTTATACTGAGATGAGTATGTACATTTCTCAAGGAGTCAGCCCCCTGGAAACACCAACTAGCATATGTGTTAACAAAGGAATTTTCAGGTTTCAGGTATAAATTTGATGGCTGGGACACAGTGGTGCATAGAGAATCTTTTATAGAGATCCTCCTCAAATCTCAACAGATGACTTCTGTTTCAAACCTATTTTAAAGACAAGACTTATTTAGTTTTACCTTAACATCACTAAACTCCCTTTTGTTATACCCACCATTGCCAGAATATTTAAAAGTCCCTTTCCTTCCTCCCAAAGCTAAGACAATCTTAATTCCTTTCTACTTGTGCCTTTCTCTGTGTTCCAGGAGAGGTGAAGTTTGAGGATTACAGGGATTTCAATTCCTCACTTTGCATTCAATTAGCAAATGACTTCATTTATTATTGTCCTGACTTTTCAGCTTGAGGCACATTTTTCTTTCTCTTCCACCAGTTTCAACAATGAAAAATTTCAATCCATCATTACTTAATGAAGACATGGATAATCATGAATACATGGTACAGTTATTTCTTAGAACATCCCTGTTTAATAGAAATATAATGAGAGCTCCATATCTAATTTTAAATTTTCTAATAGCCACATTAAAAAATAAGAAGAAACAGGTAAAATAATTTTTTGGTAATATATTTTACTTAATCCATTGTCAAAAATATTGTCTCAACATGTAATTAATATAATTAGATATCCTATAATATTTTTTCCTGCACTTAGTCTTTGATATCTGGACTGGTATATGGGCTTAATTTTCATAAATCATGTGTGCTTGCAAAGAATGTATATTCTCAAGTTGTTGGATTCATTATTTTACAGACCCAGTTTGTTGTGTTGTTCAGATTTTTATGTCATTAAAATTGTTGTTGTTATTCCTTGATATGTCAGTCACTGAGGTATATTGAACTCTTCCAGTATTATTTGGATTTGTCCATTTTTTTTTGTAGTTCAGACATTATTTGCTTTATGTACTTCTGAATACATGTTACTAAATGCACATACATGTAAAATATGTTATATATTCCCAGTGAATTGAATCTTTTATGTAGCGATTCTCTTTATATCTAGTAACCCTTTTGTCTTTAAATCTATTTTGTCTGATGATACAATTTTACCATTTTTTAAATTAGCATTTTGTCTTATAACCAGATAATTCCATTCACATTGATTGTGATTAATGTTATATTTGGATTCATTTCTTCCATCTTGTCATGGTTTGGACTGGAGTGTTGACCTGGATTGTATCATATCCTTAGTCGATAGATGTCCCCATCACTAACTAATCCAACCACCTATCCATATCCCATCCTGTTGGACTATGTCTATGGCCCCAATAGTACAGTGGTTTAGGATTAAATGACACTGTAAAACAGTGGTTCTCAACCTTCTGGCCCTTTAAATACAGTTCCTCATGTTGTGACCCAACCATAAAATTATTTTCATTACTACTTTATAACTGTAATGTTGCTACTATTATGAATCGTCATGTAAATATCTGATATGCAGGATAGTCTTAGGCGACCCCTGTGAAAGGGTCGTTCGACCGCCAAAGGGGTCGTGCCCCACAGGTTGAGAACCGCTGCTGTACAATCATGCAGGAACTGGAAATGGTTAAAGACCAGGGTCAGGAAGGAAAAAGCTCGCCATCATCACATATTTAAAGGACTATCAAATGTATATAAAGAAGACATGAAAATTAGCAGCACCTGACAGAGCTAGAACAAATGAGGGTGATAATATTTTGTTCTTGAGCAACAGTTACATGCCAGGTAAATTGCAAATTTTTTACCTTAACTTAATTCACATATCAAACCACTAAGGTAGGAGGTTTTATTATCCTCATTTTATGGGTGAGGAAACTGAGTGTCAGAGAGCTTAAGGAAGATACCCAAAGTCAAATAACTAGTAAGTGGCTGAATTGGGAATCGAACTCAATTCTGAATGATTCTAAAACTCTTGCTCTTTTCACTGAATTATAACACAGGGAAGTGAACCGGTAAATACCAAATAAAGGAAAAACTCTTTTAGTTAAAATTGACTCAAAATATAATGAACTATCATTTGGGGTAGCGAGTTTCCCCACCTTTGGACATTTCCAAGCAGAGGGAGGTGGTCATATATCAAATCTATTATAGTGGGAGTTTTTCTTTGAGTGGGAAGTTGTACTTTAGATTATATGACCATTAATGTCTATTTCAGTTTCCAGAACCATATTGAAACCGTGCCAAAGCTCAACAAGAATATCTTTCTAAACTCTCCCTACTGTTTGAAAGTAGCCGCAACGTGAACTTGTTCTTTCCTCACTCAGCCTCCTTAACTCATGGCAGTGTTAAATGATGTGTACAGGCGGGGGTTTAATAAAACGCTATTTGATGATGACTCGATGAAAGTCAACTTGGCCTGTTTAGCTCGAAGAAAAAAAATGTCTTGTGTATTTTATAGAGTGAAAACATGATTGCAGCATAAGTTCTGTTACTTTGAAATGCTGGAGCCAAGAAATGCAAAAGCTGAGAGAGACTGTTGAAAATGAAACATTATTTTGCAGGTAGCTTTTAGCAAGTGGCCAGGATTCACTGGGAGAAAAATAAAGGTCTATCCTCTGTGTCTTGCTTGGTTCAGACATTTTGCCTTCAGAAAACTAAGAGAAAATGGCTCTGTCAGCAGTCTCATCAGGCTGGCCCCTCGGTAGACTCTGCTCCTGTCCACCTTACATTTTTTCCTCGTTGCTACTTCACCAGTGACCACTTCCCCTTTTTTTAAAGCCCAACTAAAAGCATATTTCTTCCAGATGCTTCTAGGGACCCATGCCCATCCCTGTAGCTGTACATCTCCAAGTATCCAGTAATGGCAGCTGAAATATATCTATATCTATATATCTATATCTATATCTATATCTATATCTATATCTATATCTATAACTCGATCATGTATTTATATATGGCTAAGTGTCCCTCTGACTGTCTGACCAGTAGCTATGATGTGCACTGACCACCAAGGGCCAGACACTCAATGCAAGCACTGCCCATGGTGGTTGCTGTCCAGCCTTTTCTTCATTTCCATTTGGCTCCCGCCACCGCTATTGTGCTCACCAGCCCACTGATCTATATATCTATATCTATATCTATATCTATATCTATATCTATATCTATATCTATATATCTATATATCTAATCTATATCTATATCTATGTATCTATGTATATATAAAGATTTTACACATTCACTACTTTTGAGGAGTCCCTTAAAAACTTATAAAAGCGGTTTCATAACTGACTGCTTCCTACAACATGGCTCTGAGATAGGTAGGAAAGATCTCATTATTGGCTTTTGATACACGAAGAAACAGTATGAATTGCTAAGTAGTTAGTGGCAGAGTTTTGGCATCTTTCAGCTCCACAACTCTAACAGCCAAATGTTGTGTTCCAAAATATTTCCCAGGAGGTTCTGACTCTTAGAGTGTAATTTATGACATGGCCGATACCTGTGGTTTGATATATTTGCAATTGGTGTAGCCTGTTATTGGGGCCAACCAAGCGCTAGCCAATGCCTACTAGAGTGTGAACAAACTTTGAGAAGGGCCCACTTCTGAGATGAATGTGCTGTCTCCTGCATGCATGTGACCAAAAATCACCCAAGTTACAGTATAAAATTTATTTGAGATCCATTTTTGTGTGCTGTTAATTGAGACCATAAGTTGATTCTCCCCCATCTCCCCTCCCCCCCCCACAAAAAAATAGTTACCTAGTTTTATATAAACCACTTATGGAATAATCTATTTTTTCCATATTGGTTTATGATGTATACTTTCTCATAAATCAAGTTATAATATATACAAGGGTCTGTTTCAGGCCTGTTGGTTAGTTGCATTGATCTGTTGATTCTTACACCAACATTATACTGTTTTAATTAGGATTAAAAGACATTTTAATATCTTAAAGTGTACAGTTTATGTACATTTTCACCAATTTTACTTTTTTAAGATATAGCTATCTTCACACAATGGTTGCCACCTACAATGCTTGACATTATATAAAAAATATACCTTTATTTGGGAGTAATTGACATTTTCTATTAGTGTTTAGTTTACTCTCCAAGAGCATATTTTATCTTTCCATTTTTTAAAAAATATATATTTTCTTGATTTTTTACAGAGAGGAAGGGAGAGAGATAGAGAGTTAGAAACATCGATGAGAGAGAAACGTCGATCAGCTGCCTCCTGCACACCCCCTACTGGGGATGTGCCGGCAACCCAGGCACATGCCCCTGACCGGAATCCAACCCGGGACCTTCCAGTCCGCAGGTCGACGCTCTATCCACTGAGCCAAACCGGTTTCGGCTATCTTTCCATTTGTTTAAATTTCTTCTAATTTTTCATAACTTGTAGCTATTGTGAACTGGACCTTCCCCTCATTACATTTTTTAATTTTTTTCCTGCAAAAAGCGTTATTGTCTCATCTGGCCCAGTGCATGGGAGAGGCCTTCAGGGCGGTTAAAGAATGGCCAGTAGTTTGGGGAAGAGGCTCAGGGAAAAGCCAGGCCCCGGGGGAGGCAGAGGGCCCCTCACAGGCCTCTGGGCTCACGGGCTCCCTGGTCGCTGGAGGGCGAGCCTTTCGGGGAGATGCTTGCCCAGCCCAGCCGGGGCGCAGCCTGGGGAGGCGGGCCAGGTGTCCCCCTCTTCTTGATGAGCTGCGCTCCTGCCCCGGAAGTGGTTCTGCCGGAAGTCAAGGAGCCGAGGGCCTGGGGGCAGAACCCGGGCGGCGGCTCCCCCAGGGCCGGGGCCAGGCTCCCCTCCCAGGCCGGGGGCGGCCAGGCCCTG